ATCTTCTCAAATATTTTGTATTGATGGAAAGTGTGTCTATAAAAAATGGTCCAACTTGGGATTCTATTATCATTCAAAATATTTAACTAATTATTCACCTAATAAATTACTGCATATATATTTTTAATCATAGGATGATGTACTTAACTTATTTCTCCCCACAACTCATCATCATCAATTATTCCTTCATCCCATTCCCAACCTCTTTGATTTATAAGTTGATAAAATTTTCTGAAGTCTGCTTTCATATTTTGGAGCCTTATCATGATTATTGCTTCATTGTACTTAGTATTTGGATGTATATTGGTCACTTTCGCAAGGTTTGTCCATTGTTCCTTCTTCAAGATTTCAGTACAAAAATTTCAATATAAGAACTATTTAAGTAGGAGCTCCTTTAGTATAATCTTATGCTACTCAGGTCATATTGGACACCACGTTGAGTTTTTTGGTTGTCATGAGTGGAAGGAGACATCATTATTTACACATGGGTGACCATTTGATCAAAATCCTTGTATGATAGCTTTTCCTTTTAGATCTCTTATTGTATATAGTTTGTTTCAACCTAATATTGGTTTTTACTTTCCCATGCTTGAATGACATGTCGGTACGTGGTCGATGTAGCTCCTTGTATATGCATGTTCTACGTGACCTAAATTGTAAAATTAGCTTATTTAGGTGAAACAAATTGTATAGCCTAAATATATTTTTAGCGAAAATTTACATATCACAAAAGGATAATTGAACTATTAGTACAACAATAAATACTATTAAGGAATATCAAATTTTATGATTTATTTATCTTGATTTTCTAGCCATGGTCTTCTCTAAATAATAGGTTTCTATTATGAACAAGGTAGTTAGATTCTCTAAACATTTTCCACATCTTAATAAATACAAAGTGTACTAGATTCTTGCAAGAGACTATTTGGGGTAAAATTAGCCAACCAATACAACCAATATCAAGGAAAATGACAACAAAGAAAGATAAAAAAAAGCATTTCCCTTGTTTGTTACTATGTCACAAATGCAACTAAGCATGCAAACATACTACTAACTATTTGAATAGCATGCTAAACATACGGCATACTCTATCATACTAAAACAACCAAAAGCATTTACTCAAGAGAGAATATAATAAAATACTTGGATTCACGTAATAATTTGCAACAATAGGATGAAGACCAAGATTAGAGAGGAGGAAGATGATTACATTAGCTGAAATAATTTGCAGCATTTACATAATACATGGATTTATGTAATTAGGTGGATTCACAAAATTATTTGCATCATACTACATAATAACATAAATAAAACATATAGAAATAAGCACTTCCAAACTAATAAACTATTACAACTTATAGAACATGCAAAAAAAGGCTGGAAACTATACCTTCAACATATATACATATAAGATGATAGAAATATAAAGATTAGAGAGAAAGAAGAAGAATCAAAACTCAAGAAGGAAGACAAATGAGGGAGCTTGCAGTACGTTACAGAGATTCATGAACCTTACGCTGTAGATAAATGATCTCCACCTACTTGACGACAAGAACTCCGTGGGAGAGCTCTTTACATATCTGTAAATTACATTAAATATGCCGAACTATGATATTTAGTAAATATCAAATTTATGGCAAACAAATTTTTATTGGGGATTTATAATGGATGTTTATTTACAAGTTTTTTAAAAGTTTGTCAGTATTTATGATAAATCCTCCTCCTTTTCTTTGAAAGTGTATTTAATTTTTATCCTACAAAAAAAAAAGAAAGAGAGTGAAAGAGAAATTTCAATGCAACCGCATAGCTTATATTCATCTTTCTTTGATATGTTCTAACAGGGTCTCAAAAAATAAGTAATTTTTGCTGGCCATGTATCATTTTTTTTTAGGTTCACTAGAATTATTAGTGGTTGGAACTTCCAATTATCTTGTTAAAAATCTTATATTTGTATTTTTGTCTTACCAAATTCTTTTTTTCCCACAAAGGATCGTGATGTCTTTCTATGAGATCGCATGTCTATTCATTAGTTCTTTTTTGTTTTTCTTTTTTCTCTTTCATTTTTTCTTCCTAAGAAAGTAAGCAGTCAATGCGATCAAAAATATGGGGAAAATGCAAACATTTTTATCTTTCAATCTAGGGGCCGAATCAGCTCATACAAGAGCAAAGTTAGAAAAATTTGATTACCTTGCTAGTAGTTCTTGAATCAAGTAATTCTTAAAGAGTATAAACAATATACAATAAAGAGAATGGGACGAAGTCAGTCCGATTCTGCCCCTTACTCATAGGTTGTTCCTTCTCTTTTGTATAGTAGATGAAGAAGTCTATCAACTCAATAGGATCAATTAGAACAAGTCACACACTCATATTTCGTGTTCATGCAACCGATACCCTGAGATTGCACTGTGTCATCCATAAAAAAATTGACAATCTTCTTTCATTTCATCAACAAATGAATGATGGATTGTTAAGTGCGCGTCGTGCCCCCTAACTTTGGTTGGACTGCTTCGCTAGTGACAACTGTGCTATTCAAGCCTTATGAATATGTTGCTGGTTGAGCCGCTTCTCTTCTCAATGTGTTCGGTAGTACCCAACGGGCTATTCTATTATGAAGTTAAGAATTGATTAGTCAAACATCCTCACTTCTACCCTTCTTTCCGACAAGATTAGATGTTTCATTCTTTTGCTCGGGAGGCATCAAAGAAGTAGCTAGTAAGGGCTAGCTTAAAAATAATTGACTTCAAGAAGTAGTAATATTAGATAGGATTCCTACCTCAAGACTGGGATAGGGGTCTCTCCTTCTTCATTTCACTTAAGGAGGTGGGAGACGGGGTCCTATGTGGATTCCCCTTGGTCTAATTCCACGATGGAGAGTTGGCATGGCGTAAAGTGAAGATTGGGGGGAGTAGAGCAAAATCCCCGTTTGGGATATTTCGAAGGTATAACCTAGGAAACGAGAAAGGGATACTTCAATTAGATGCGCGACCTGTTGGTTTACCAAACCCTGACCCAGCATCACATGTTGGTCTGAAGGGTTTTAGTGCCCAACTACCGACTCCTCCCAAAATTGCATTCTCGGAGCTGAGCCATGAATAACAGTTAGTGGACACCTACCACTTTTCACCGGAAAGAGAGATGCCCACTTCAAAACTTTCAGGAAAGATTTTCACAGGGGATGGAAAGACTCAGTTATAGGAACTTAGACCACCTAAGCACTGATAAATGAAAACCACCTCGACTGGATCTACCAAATGAATCAAGCTGACCCGTCGGCAACCTCGATGTGGTAGCATCTACCTTTGTAACAATCAAGACTGGTAAGTCCATGACTCCACACAATTGTCCCTATACCAGTAGAAGATTCGGTAGCTACCACAGCCCACGCTTCTTCAGGCGGAACTCCCGGTTGAGGAGTTACTCGGAATGCTGCAAAGATAAAAGTATCTTTGGTTTCATAGTCAGGAGTATAATAAGTCAATTTGTAATCTTTAACACCAGCTTGAAATCCAACACTTACTTTAGTCTCTATTTGTGGTGACATAAGTCCCTCCCTTCAACTCATGAATTAAGAATTCTCACAACAATAAGGCCTACTCGATATGAATTAGGCGTGAATGAATCCTTTGACAATAATATTTACATTTAAAAGAATATTAAACTAAACTAATATTATCATCGTGGAAAGAAAAGAAGCACATGTTACAGTTTGCCAAGGAAAAGTCTCAGGTAGACATTTTATATGGGGCATAGCCCTCCCAAAAAGTAACAGAGGCATGCAAAGGTTCCCTCATATTGGATAGAGATTGGCAATTCATCTTGAATTATTGATATTTAATAGAGTTTAAGAAACAATGATGGTGCTTGTACTTCACCTATGCCCTCCATGTCCCCCAAGCTCTTCAGTATATTAGATCGTGTAACTCGTCTTTCAATTCACATTGGAATCCCTTTGTGAAGGATGCACCTCTAGTGTACCAGTTATCGTGTCTACGATAAATACTGGGTAGCCAAGTGCTAAGCAGATAACTGTTGAAAGCTTATAAGTAGTAAGCCCACCCCAAGATGAGTCTGGACTTCCCTAGAGCCTTCGGTAGCAAAGTCGACACAGTGGCGGGTTCTGTGCCCCAGCGGGGATGGAGCGACAGAAGTATCGAGAAACCAAGACAATGTCACGGCGAGATGAGCCGTTTATCATTACGATAGGTGTCAAGTGGAAGTGCAGTGATGTATGCAGCTGAGATATCCTAACAGATCGAGAGATTTGAATCTTGTTCCTACACGACCTGATCAATTCGATCAAGCACTTGCCATCTATTTTCATTGTTCAACTGTTTGACAACATGAAAAACCCAGGAGCTTCCTATTTCTTCAATTTCACTAAAGATAGGTTGGTCAGAATGTCTTTTTTCCACAAGTCAAAAGATAAACTTGTGCCTATGGTTCTACTACCTATGCCTTCCGTGCCCCCGCGGCTCCCTCCCTCAATTGGATAAACCAGATGCCTAACCCCTATCTATCAACGTAGAAGTTCCTGATCAAACTGATGAGTGTAAATTATTTTAAAGAAAAACAATCTTATCTAACCAAAATATTTTTTCACCTGACAAACTAAAAATTAGAATAAAAATGATATTAGGCAGTATCAAATTTCAGGCTAATAAAGTTTAAGCTGAATATATCAGGTAAATCCTGGCTATAATTGGTGCGCCCCACTGCATATTCGATGCCAGAAGATGCAGATGAGGTCCATCCCCGTCTCCACTGTCCCCACTCCCCATCTTACCGCTGCCACCAATTGATAGCAGCCACTCGCCTTTGCGGGGTGGCCCAAGTAGGTTACAAATTTCTAATTTTCGCACAGAGACGATTGTTGCGCCATTTACTGGTCTCGCTTGCGCAGGCGAGCATCGGAAGAAATTCGAAAAAGAAAACGAAAAAAAAAGGGCGGAGAATAAGTGAATAGAAGTAGGAAGCTGCAGCTAGAATACTTGGAGTCGGTGATGGCGCAGCTCCTCTCTTCCGTATCGATGGAAGTCATTTTTAAATTTCGGAACTTCTCCGGAGGTGGCTTGCGGGGATCTGAGGATCATCGACGGTTAAGGACCAAGCGCCGCCGCTCCTTCTGTAGGCGGCAACGACGGGCTGACGTGATCGCGGCCATGGCTGAAGATTCGTTCTACAAGGAAGATTTTGCTGATGGTTACTATGAGGTTCTGGGATTGGTAAAATTCATTGCTCTTTTCTTCTTAGCTAATGTCCGATTTCAAACCGTTTATTTTATTTGGCTATCTGCGTCAAACTTCGACTAAGGCGTGGAGAGAATGAATCTGCTTCCTTCCTCGATATTCTTTTGTCAGTTGCTATAAAATTCTTAATATTCTGTAAGCTGTAGCTTGTGAAAATTGAATATGCCCTATAGAAGTACTTATTAGGCATTGCTGCATCTACATACACAAACAGTTCTTCAGGGCGTTCACTTTTTTATTTTATTTTATTTTTAATTTTATGTTTTATATCTGTTGCACATCTATTGCACGCTGCAAACATAGCTCATAGAGGGAATATCGATCTCAATAGATCATTGATCTAACACATAAAAGCAATTAAATAGAGTGTAGAATGAGACATGAAATATAGTTAAGTCTTTGTAGCATAATAACTCCAAAAGTCTTTGCATAATAATATATGGGCTCAGAAAATTTGCACCCAATTTTTTTTGAGAAAGTTTGGTTATGGATTAAATTTTCAAAAGGCATATTGTATTGTTTATAAAATACTACCCAAAAATTTCACTATTATTTTGCGAGGATCTTAAGACATAATTTCAATTTCTCATAGGTTCTTAATATTTCAATTTCTCATAGGTGCAAGCCACTATGGTTGGTGAAATACTTCTCCAATAACAAGTGAGAAATCTCTATTGAGGCTAGTTGATAGATGCTAAATGCTTAGTATAAGACATTAATGATTTTTTTTTTTATAAATTTTAGAGTTGAGAAGTTTATTGCCTTTTAACTCAAAGTTGATGGTTTGGAATGATAACTAACATGATCAAAATCCCATGGTTCATCCGGTTGTCATGATCCTTGGTTTATTTAATAAAAAAAGATAGTTGACTCAATCTAATTGAAGGATCATTATTAGCGCCATGAATTGCATCGTCTAAGGGAAACTTGTAGACATGGGGTGAATGTTTACCTAAGAAGATAATTTGAAGTCAACTTTAGCTAGCAGATGACTTTATTTCCTATTAAGTGGACCTTATGATTCACAACTCAAGTGGGATGGAGCCACTGGTGAACATCTTGGCTATAACCTTGATCGTAATATAATGACGTCACTTTTTGCTGAAATCACCTAATCATAAGACCCTGGTTGTAATTATTATTTAATGATTTTAATTGGCGACAAAACCATTGCTTAGGACATGAGTCATGTCCTTATTAGCATGAAAATTTTTGAGATAAATTTTAGCGATACGCTCAATAAAACATTGGCAATTTATGAGCAAAGCTTAATATTAAAATTTTCACCCCAGTTAAGCTGTTATGAAAAATGGATGTATTATTGTTTTAAGCTTTAAGGAGATATATTTTGCTTAAATATTTTTTAAATTTGAATTTTATTTTTTGGAATTTAAATTTCTTTTATATTTGAGCCCAAAGAGATTTGCTTTGTGATTTCAGAGCATCTTAGTGATAGTGTTCTCCTTCGGTTAAGATGTACTAATCACTACAACCACCATCAAGGTAGGATCATTTACATTATTGAAATGACAATTTGAGAGCTTAATTGTGAAAATAGATCCCTCCAGTTATGACGTGCAATAATTGCGTCAATCACGTGTATTGGAATGATTAGACTTTATTGTATTAAACCTTGTCAATTTTGCTTGATTTCTTGCAAATGATCAAATTTTTGGGTTCAATTGACTACAATCTTTGTGATGTGGAGGATTGAACTTGAAATATCAGACCTACGATCTTGTCCTATAGGCAAGGCAGACGCTTGAGAGCGTGTGCATCTCAAAATTGAGTTTGAATCATGAAAATAATTATATGTTTCCAAAATAATTGCATGCTTTTCAAAGCAGGGAAATTTGTGTTCAACTTGTTTTTTAGTTCACACAGGGTTTTTAGACTTTATGTTTAAGCATTTAATATATTTATTGGAGCACATCGAGATTGATTTGATTTTAGCGGCTTGCATGCTTTTCAAGATGGCATGCTTATTAGAGCATATACGAACGTTGTCTTCTAGTGATTTGACATGTCTCAAATAACGTGCATGATTTTTTATGCATTTAGAAGATTTTCAATGAACTTACATAATGCATTTACATGCTTTTTGGTGAACACAATGTACTTGCATGCTTCTTGATGCATTTTGTCAATGCCCTTGCATGCCTTTTAAAAAGTTTACATGATACATTTATCTCAAGGTATTTTAGTAGAGTTTAAATTTATCTCATTACACATGTGAATTATTCCAAAATATTCGAATTTTGAATATTTTTTTTTAAAAAAAAAGAGGGTTAGCCGAGCAAGCCAACCCTATAACATCCATAAATTATGTCGGCCATATGTCTTGTTAACCATACATCGCCCATCAATTAAAAGATGTGTGTGGCATATATAGCCAACCGACCCTTTTTTAACGAATTTTGAATATTTACGCGAGTGTATTGCATTAAAATTCCTGTGTCACTTTTTTATTTTAAAATTTGATATTTCTCATTATGTTCTCTTGCATATACCTATTTTCAGATTCGATGGTGTGGAAGAAGAATTAGAATCTTTTGTCACATGTTTTGGTGATGAGACATTTTTTGTCTTCACATGGTTGGAAATTGGAATATAATGTGATAGCCGCCACATAGAATCTCTCCTTTCTCCTATTTATTGCCTTGTTCATTTTATCATTCCAATTCATTTGTTCTATTGTCCTGAGAATTTTGAGTGCGTTGAAGAAGTTCCGTTTGTGCTTGTGGAAAGCTTTCAAGATCATTACAAGTTCATTTAGTCCTTTCAAATTCAATTTTATGTTCATTTCATTTGGTTCATGTTATTGGTTGGGGAGTACATATATTTTTTACTTCCTCATGCACCTCACTTTAAGCATTCAATTTGGTCATTATTTTATAATTTTATTCTTTCATTTTATCATATTCATGTTCGAAGAGGTTCTTTTGATTATTCCATGTTAGTTCATTTAGTATATATTTCGGTAGCCTCTTGGTATCTTCCTTGCATAAAAGGCATCTATTGGGAGTACTAGGCATTCCCACAATACTTAAAAAAATGTGCATGATAGGTGTCATGAGGCACTGGGGCTAGGGGCTTCATTTCCACCCCTTTTAAAAAAGCACACATAGCCTTATTACTTCCAAGAGAGAATACGTAAGATTTTTCATCATGTTGGAACAACACAAATGGGTACTTAATGCAAAATTTCCATGCCATATCAAAACAATGCGCACAAGTTCTAATTGTTGTGGCTTTTGCATTATACCTTGTTTGCAAGGCACTCGATAAAGAAGATCTGTACAATGAATGAAATAAACCACTCTAATGCATCCTTTATTGATAATGGTTGGAATACATCCGTCGAGCACTCGAATCTGTGCATTAATGGGGTAAGGTTTATATGACAAACAATGTGTGATATTTAGTCTTATGGTTGCATGCTTGAAATCCACAATCCATGGGCCTCTTCCTTCCAATTTGGCACTACCTTTTTGTATTATAGAACAATTAGAAGAGAACAAGGATGGAATCAATGCGCGCGCAAACAATTTGGATTGGCCAAGGAAGGCTTATATTTGCTTAAGCTATTTGCTTGTGAAAGATATATTGCCTGACTTGTCCTCCTTTGTAGTGTCATGAAATCTTCAGATAGATTTTCTTTGTTTTTTTAATTCTAATTTTTTGGCATAAATTTCCAACATCATTCTTAATTTGACAAGAGTTCTGTCATTGATCACACCAAGCCTGATTAGTTTTCTAATTGTAGAATGATGTTCATGCCAAGTCTAATCCCTCTGGCAGAAGAGAGGAATTTTAGATATTGACTTCTAAGGTTGTTTCTTTTAGAATTTTAAGCATAACCCCTTCCAACTTTTTCCCATCGGACCTTCACAAAGGCATTTCTTAGGTTGTGATGGTGCTTCATTCTCACTAAACAACCTCTTATCATCCAGTTCCTTATTAATCCATTAAGGAATTCAAAGACGTGTTCTTTCTGATACATTTGGCTATATTTCAAATTATATTTGGCAACCCCAATTAGTTTCATAAAACATATCAATCTCTTTCTACTTAATAAATTATTTGGTCATAGCCATAGTGTATTCCTTTATTCTTAAAAGCATATCAAATTTCAAAGCATAATGTAGTGTTTTTGAGATTGAAGTACATTTCGTGCAACATATCCTAATTCTTCCATGTAGTTCGATTTTAAGCTCTATAAAATTTATCAATGAAGCCATCGCTGTGGAATTCTAGGCCTCCAAATTGTGTAGCTAGTTCTTCCATCATTTGGTTATTTGACGTCCTAGTAAGGTAGCTGATTTATTCTTTCCCTTAGATCAGGAACATAACTGATTGAGATGGTACCCTCCCAATTGAGGTTATTCTGTGTAATTTGAAGGAAATGATGATCACTTGTTGATGAACATACGAAGTACTCGATGTGATGAATGTAAAGAGACTTGTAGTCTTCTAAGGAGTCCATTTATGTTGCACCAATATTGATTTCTTTGGCCCTGAGGAAGAGAGGAGATCAAAGGAAGGTTGCCTTTGATTCCATGAAAACATAGATGTAAGAATATTTCTTTATTTTTATTCATTTATTACGCCCAATACTTGTTTTATGCAGCAATTATGATAGAAAAAGAAGCTTTATAAATCCCAAGTTGTTTTATACAGCATTTATGATCAACAACAACATCAAGCCTTTATCCCACTACGTGGGGTCGAAAAGAAATTTTAATTATAATCCAGAGCAAAAAAAGACAATAATAGCAAGAAAATATGAATGTATCTTATTTTATTTCTGTGAAAGGGGTGCTTCAGTAGAGACATTATTGTGCTTCAATTAATTCGTTTACTTCAGATTGCCATTAATAGTAATTGTGCAGTTCCAAATAAAATGATAATATATTTAGTAAAAAATAAAGAAATAATGTTTTCCGTAAGTCCTACCCAAAGATTAAAGGAAGGATTTACTGTCACTCAAAAGGTTTTTCGAATTTTTCCATATGGACTAAACTGCCCTATTCATCCTGATCTTTGATGTTTGGTCTTATCTTTAATTAAAAATTATGAAGTAGGTATATGAAATGCTGTCCATGCACCACTTAAAACATTTTACCATTGTTTTTCATTTTTTTGTTTTACGGCATTACATATTTGCAGCAGCGTATGCATCCCTTCTTTGCAAGTCAAAATAGTCACAAGAATAGTTCACTTGAGATTATTTATAAAATTATTATGTTCTGGCTCTGATTTTATCCGTAAAATTGTCAATGCTAGCTTCCAGATGCCAGTCCACAACAGATAAAGAAAGCATATTATAATTGTATGAAGTCTTGTCATCCAGACTTGAGTGGAAATGATCCGGAGGTTACAAACTTTTGCATGTTCATTAATGAAGTCTATGAGGTGGGTTTCAAACATGAGTTCAAAATGAATTCATCAATGCTCGGTTCAAAGTTTTTATTAGGTAAGCTGACACAAAACTCGAAATTAACTCTGAAAATTGTTTTAAGAGCAGGTTCTTAGTGATCCTGTGCAGCGAATGATATATGATGAAATACATGGGTATGCGTTGAGTGCAATCAACCCCTTCTTCGATGACACTTCTCCCAAGGATCATGTATTTGTTGATGAGTTTAGTTGCATAGGTATGAGTGCTTCAAGAAGTTCTTTCCAGTTCTTTTAATTCTTATGTCAAAACCATGAATAATAAAATTTGATGGAGTTTGTTAATTTGATCAAAGTTACCTTGCTTTATAATCGGAATAACAATACAAGTGTTGTTAGACTATACATGGATTGCCACTAAACCGTTTTTATGTTTACATGATGGATAACCTTTCATTTAAACATTCTCTTGCTCACTTTTGACGTCTAGTCTAAATGAGTTTTTTTTCTGCTTGGGCAATACAGGTTGTAAAAATTGTGCCAATGTAGCATCAGACGTTTTTAGAATTGAAGAAGATTTTGGAAGAGCAAGGGCATGTAGTCAATCCGGAAATCCGGCCCTAGTCCAAGAAGCAATTGATAGCTGGTGAGCCTTTGATCACTAAAGCATAGACCCGAAACTATATTCCATTTTCTTTGCATATGATGTCGTCCTGTTGTGAGCTTCTGTTACTTGAGGTTTAAGATTTGATACTATTTTGGATACCAAGTTGAAATGCACATCCATCAAACTCTGGCTTTGTTTATTGTTTTTTTTTTGGTTTTCTGTTGGTTATTCTTGCCTGGTTCATTCAAAATATTTAATATCTTTTCAGCCCAGTTGATTGTATCCATTGGACTTCCGCTGCACAATTATCTCTACTTGAAGATGAAATGCGCAGGGTGGAAAGAGTGAATGTAAGGTTAAACTTCAATCTTGCACACTTTGAAAATATATATAGTATCTTGTTGAATTTTAGAATTAAATGGTGGCATTTCAATCAGCTAGCATTCTGATAAGTCTCCTGGTTAGTCCCGTCTCTTAAGATATTACTATTAAGGTCCATAAATTTGGCCCCTTTCTAAGGTGCATCATTGCCATGCAATTCAGTCCATTTGTTGATCTCAAGATTGAGGGATATAATTTCAGTCCATTTGTTGGTTTACTCTAAGAGATAGAATGATGGTGGATCAATTTTGGAGAGGCAAGTGAGCCTTGGTCAAGATTTGGCAAGAGGAGAGCCTCCTTTAGTCCACTAGGTTAGGATGTGTATGTCAGAAAGAAAGGGAGGGAGAGAGAGAGAGAGAGAGAGAGAGAGAGAGAGAGAGAGAGAGAGAGAGAAAAGATATAATAGGGTTCTTGATTAGAATTGAATTGAATAAATAAACCTATATACAAGTCTGGTATTTATAAACTTATAAAAATCCTTGATAAACATCATAAAAATAGATAGTGATAAGGGTAATCCTTTATTATTAGAGAACTGTAGGTTATCATATAAAACAAATCCCTTATCTCGATAACAGCCCTTCTTGATTGTTATAATCTTTGAATTTTGATTACAAGGAATGGTCCTTCTTTTGTATGATCAACCTTCCATCATAGGAGAGGGAGTTGGGTTTTAAATTCAAAGCTTTGTTATTTGAATTATAGCCCATGTTGTACCCTCCATGTAGTCTTATGTGAGCCACGTGCCTTTTTGGCCTTTGAGCTTGGCTTTTGCTTTAACTTTAGGCTTTGTATTTGAGCTTGTGTTTTGACTTAACTAATTGATGTTGAAATCTCTTGGATCCACAAATGAGATTATTCATTTCATCTTATTCATGATTATATTTCATTTATTTTTTTATTGACTCCTTTTATGAAACATGCTTTAAAATGAGGACTTTTGACTACAAATGACAGAGAAAATAACCTTGGCCAATGTATTAACAATTTAAAATCATCAACTATACTACAAATAACAATCCATATATTATGCTGCATGTCATTTAAAATAATTAATGATGTGAAAACGACTAATTTCTTCTTATGCAATCATCGATACCACTATTGTAAATGTTATTGAAGAAGATGGACAATCTTATTCTTATGTACTGTGCTTAGAAGTATATAGGGAAGTATAGAGGGAAATGGGTTGTCATTCTTCTCAAACGAGGTATATATATTTACACACACACATTATTCGTCTCTATATCATGGTGTTTTTTTATGTCCAAAATTAATTTTTTGGCCAACATTAATTTTTTGACAAAATAAAATTTTACTGTAACACTGCTTATTAAATTTGTCCGAAATTGATTTCTAAATTAAATTTTACCATCATGAAAGTTATTTGAAAGTACATTTTCATTGATGCATTGGATTTCCATTTTCACAGGTTGGTCTGATGCTTGCTGGAATGGGTGGTGCGTCCACTGATGTTTTTGCAATGGTATGCTGTCACTGAAATGAATGCATATTTTAGCCTTAATTCTCCAAATCCATTCTTCTCTCAGATACACTGACTTGTTTCTCCTACATGATGTTATGGATTTTGCAACATTGCAAATCTGATTCTAACTATTTTAGAGCACAATTAAATTAACTATTACATAGTTTTGTCGATCTGATCTCACAAAGTTGCACCTTTGGAAGCTCTCAAGCAAAGCATGTTAAATCATAAATGCCATCTCCCTTTCATCTCAAATAGGGTTGCAAACAAGTTGAACATGAACGGACAAGTGTCTTCTTAAGCTCAATTCATTTTCCATCGAGCCAAATAAGAATGAACTCAAGCTTATTAATGAGCTGAAAAAATTTTATTTGCTGACTCATTTATTATTGAGCTGAACATGGAATAACATGAAAAGTCAAGTTGATGACAATCAAATGCATCGATAATTTATTCTTTTTTTAAATAGTAATGCATGTAAAATCATAAATGCCATTTATCTTTGATTACAAATAGGGATGCAAACGAGTTGAACATGAATGGACTAGAGTCTTCTTCAGCTCAATTCATTAATCATCGAGCCAAGTAAGAATGAGCTCAAGTTCGTTAATGAGTTGAAAAAGTTTTATATGTGTTCGACTCATTTATTATTGAGCCACGCATCATTGAACATGAAAAGTCAAGTGGATGACAATCAAATGTATCAGTAATTTATTATTGTTATTTTGATGAGACTAGAGAGGGAGTTGAAGGTGAACTTGAATTATGGAGGTTAATATTAGAGTCTAAAGACTTTTGTTTGAGTTGATCTAACATCGAATACATGGAGGGTAATTTTAGTAGTAATAGATCTAGGGGGGTTGTGACTTTGGGTGATCATGTCATTAATAAGAATACACGTTTTAAAGAATTTGGGTCTATTGTTTAGTGTGATGGTGAAATAGATAGGGATATTATTAGTAGAATTCGATTTGGATGGTTGAAGTGGAGGAATGCATTGGGCTTGTTGTGTGATAGAAAAGTATCCCTCAAACTTAAGGGCAAATTAAACAAGATTGTGGTGAGGCTAATATGCCAAGAGGCTAGCCCAGACTAGCCTAGACTAGCCTAGCCAGATCGGCCTAGGCCAGCACAACCGACCGGCCTAGCCCTAGCCGAACTAGCCCTTTGGCTAGGCAGAATCATGGGCAACAGAGGGGGAGATTTTGACCCCCCTAGTGGGGCATGGGGAAGCTATTATTCATTATGTAAGGAGGAATCAAGGGGGAGCTATTTAGGAAGTTTTTTTAATTGTGTTTATGTTGTTTAGAAAGGTTTTTAATTATTTAAAAAAAAAATCTAATTGTGTTTATGCTATTTAAGAAGGTTTTAATTTTTTAGGAATATTTCCTAATTGTAGTTATGCTATTTAGAAAGGTTCCAATTGTGTTTATTATGTGTGAAGGATATTTAAGGGGGAGTTTTGCCTAGGGTTATTATTATATATGTGCTGAGTTTATTTTCTAGGATTTGGTGTAAGTTTCCTAGCAGTAGCTAGGGTTTGTGGTAGAGCCGAACTACCTCTCGAATAGTAGATCAATGGTATCATTTGTTATTGTTGAAGAAATAATAAAAATTAATCTCCATATTTATATTCCTACATTTTTCTTATGTATATTTTATTGTTTTTAGTTCTGAGACGCATCAAATTAGTATCAGAGCGAGGTATTTCACGGTGAATGGGATGACTGAGGAGAAGAAGTTTACGACCTCAGGGCTATGTCTAGAGGGGAAAGCCGTGGCATGGTTCTGAGGGAGGCTAAATATTTGATCCACTCTTGGCAGGAGTTTAAGGATTTTTTTTTGGAGCATTTCCAAGCCATTCTAAAAGGGGACCTATATGAGCAATTCTTTGTCTTGACGTAGGAGAGGACCGTCATGGAGTATAGGGAGAGATTTGAGTTGCTATCAGGGCGATGAAGGGGGATTTCGAATGCAGTGTTAGAGAAAAATTTCATGAAGGGCCTAAAGCCTGAAATATGAGCAAACCTTCAATTGTTGAGGCCGAATGGGTTGAGGGAGACGATGGAGCTATCCTAGATAATGGAGGATCAAAGATAGATGGAGAGGACTAGTAGGAGCGGAGTCACAGGAGGCTCTAACAAGAGTGCCTTGACTTCCCAAGCACTGAGGACTCAGACGGTGTCATTTCAGCGGGAGGTGACGAGGGAGAAGAGTGGGGTACTTTTCCCTAAGGCAACTTTTAGCACCTTACAGAGGAAGAGGTGCAGGATAAGAGAGCGAATGGTTTACGCTTCCAATATGATGAGAAGTATGCACCAAGTCATCAGTGCAAGGACTGTACACTCCAGGTCCTTATGGTTTGTGAGGAGGAGACCAATAGCGAGGAGTTGGAGGAAGAAAAAGTCGGTGGAGAGCACCTGCACCTTGATGTAGCGAAAATGTCCTTAACCCACTGTGGGATTTACTTCAAATCACACCATGAAGGTGAGGGAACAGATCGGGAAGCGGCTAGTGGTGATCTTAGTGGATAGCGGGGCTAATCATAACTTCATCTCAAATCAAGTTGCAGACCAGTTGGGGTTGAAGTTGGTGGATACATAGAGCTTTGGATTCATGATAAGGACAGGGAAGTTATGGAGGATTTGTATGAGGTTTGTGCTGACATTGTAGGGCATACAAATAGTGGAAGATTTTTCCCCTTGGATTTGAGGAGCATTGATGTGATCTTAAGGATGAAGTGGTTATAGGCGATGAAGGAGACGAAGGTGGACTAGAAATATTTGACTATGGAGATTTAGCCTGTGCAGAGTCATGATTTCACTTAAAACATGGTCAAAATGATACAAGGAGCAGGATTGAGCTATTTGGTGAAGCTATAAAGCTTGGAGGAGGTCCGAGATTTAGAGTCGGTTGAGATCCCTAACATGGTTTAAAATTACGCAATAAGAGGCGCGCCTCACTGCAATTTCACATGTTTCAGCCTTAAAGCTTATTCCTCAATTTAAAGGAGGCGCGAATCGCCTAATTTCTACTAGGAGGAACACCCCTTAAAATTAAAAAAATGCTCAGTATTGGTCGGTACCTCTCCGTAATGCTCAGTATCATGCTTAGTACCACCGCTCGGTACCATGCTCAATACCAATGCTTGGTACCGCTTGGAATTGAGAGGTACCATGCTCATTACCAATGCAGGTCGAACCCCATCAGGGGGCACGCCCCCTTAGACCCCCGACATATCTGCGAAATCTCTACACTTTTACTTATAAGTGTCGATGATTTCATAATATTTTAAATGGTTCTTTGATTAGTGTAAAAATAATTATGATTAGGATGGTTAGAAGTATAGAAACTTTTATGCAATTTTTTTATTTTGAGGCTTACGCCTCAAAACGCCTTGAAGCTTACGCCTCGTCTCACGAAAGAAAAATGCCTCAATACCCGATTACACAATTTGAAACCTTGATCCCTGAGCGTGTACATTAGCTTTTGCAGCAATTTCCTGAGGTTTTTCAGCAGCCTAGCAGATTATTGTCACCTAGGCAGTACGAGCATGCTATTACCTTGAAGGAGGGAGTTTCTCCTATCAGTGTTAGATAGTACTGGTACCCGTAGATTTAAAAGGATGAGATAGAGAGGCTCTTAAGAAAGATGTTTGAGGCAGAGATTATCAAGCCCAATATGAGCCTCTTTTCAAACTTAGTTTTACTAGTGAGAAAGAGATTTTGCGTGGATTATAGGCCCTAAACAAGGAAACTTTGCTAAACAAGTTTCTGTCCCCATAATCGATGAGCTATTTGGGGCGTTCATCTTCTCAAAGATTGACCTAAAGTTGGGGTACCACCATATCATAATGAAGTCGAGGGATGCGCATAAGACATCTTTCAGGACCCATGAGGGTCACTACTTGTTTTTAGTGGTGCATTTCGACCTTACCTATGCTCCAGCTACTTTTTAGTCCCTCATGGACCAGGATTTTCAACCCTACTTCAGAAAATTCATCCTGGTATTTTTTTGATGACATCTTGATCTACAGTCGTACGGAGGCAGAGCATGTGTGTTACTTGAGGATGGTGCTAGAAACTTTGAAGGAGCACCAGCTATATGCCAACCTCAAGAAATATTCCTTTGCACAACCATAGGTGGAATATTTATGACATGTGGTTATCAGAGCAGGGGTAGTAGTTGACCAATCCAAAATTGAGGTTATATTGGATTTGTCTTTACCTAAGAATTTGAAAGAGTTGAGAGGGCTCTTGAGTTTCACCGGGTACTACCCGAAGTATGTACTAGGGCATGACATGATAACATGGCCACTAACAGAGCAGCTGTAGAAGGACAATTTCAATTGGGACAAAGCAGCAACACAGGCCTTCGAGCAACTAAAGAAAGCCATGACCAACGTGCCAGTATAGACACTTCTTGACTTCAGCAGACCATTTGTAGTGGAGAGGGATGCACTAGGATACGGACTAGGGGTTGTATTCATGTAGGATCATCGGCCCATTGCTTATTTCAGCTAGGTTGTCATGACCAGGGTGAGGCTCAGGTTCGTATACGAGCAGGAGTTGATGGTGATTGTCTTAGTCATCCAAAAGTGGCGATTCTATTTGTTAGGGTGGCATTTTATCGTCAGGATAGATCATAAGAGTTTGAAGTTTTTGCTGGAGTAGAGGATAGTGATTGAGGAGCATCAGAGGTGATTTTCCAAGTTATTTGGATATTATTTTAAGATCCAATATCGTATAAGATTAGAGAACAAGGTCATGGATGTACTATCGAGAAAGACGAATGAACCACAATTGACAGCTCTATGACTACCTATGGTTCTAGTCTTCTAGACTAGGAAGCCTTGAAATAGGAGAGCGAACAGGTAAGGGTTTGAGGAAGATCAAAGTTGAGTTGTTGCAGGACCAAAAAGTCATCTCAGTTACATGCTGAGGGGGCCCTAACTACTATATCAAGGACGATTCATCTTACCAAGGACATCGGGGTACATTCCCAAACTGTTGCATGAGTTTCATGGTAATGAAATTTAATGGCACTCAGGAGTCATAAAACCTACAGTCGTTTGTCTGCGGAGTTATACTGAGTAGGGATGCGTCGAGATGTTGAGGATTGTGTGGCGAGTTATGATGGTGCCAGCGGCACAAGTACTTGGCCATGACACCAAGTGGATTACCCCCGCACGTGCACCATAGTTTGTATACACATAAGTACAATAAAAGGGGTAAAAGCAACTTAAAGCAAAATTCATCCACCTTCCGCAACAGTTTATCAAGGTGGACAAATTGAAATTTACTTTAGCTCATATAGAGCTAATGCTTGGTCGTGAATATCACCAGGATCCATTCTCAAATAATCTGCTGCTAGTAAGGACGTAGTATGTGTCCTCTAACCGACGGTTTTGTCACCAAATGTCACCGCAGGATAAACGGTTATGACCCGGGGCCTTCTGAACCGAGTGGTTTTGTCGCCAAATGACACCACGAAATATCGGTTATAGCCAGAGCCAGCACGTTCCTTATTGACATCAAATACTTGAGATATGAATCAATATGATATAATCGATAGGGCATAAAGCCTTTTGTCAGCTAAGGTGGATTCAAATTTGTCCCCTTAGACAAACATTCACCCTAGGTCTACAAAGTCCCCTTGGACGAAGCAACCCATGGCTGCCGACAAGGAATCTTCTGTCAGGTTGGGTCGACTACCTCCTCTGACTAAGTAGACCAGGGACCATGATAGCCCGGGACGACGGACCATGGGATCTTGATCGGGTCCATCATCCATTCCCCCACCATCCGCTTTAAGTGAAAGATGGTGAAAATTTCTATTTTAAATATTAAAATCCCAAATTCAAACACAATTTCCAAATACCTAAGCCCATTGTTGCTAATATACACCTGATACTGTGTCTACGGATATACAAGGTCATGGATGTACTATCGAGAAAGACGAATGAACCACAATTGACAGCTCTATGACTACCTATGGTTCTAGTCTTCTAGACTAGGAAGCCTTGAAATAGGAGAGCGAACAGGTAAGGGTTTGAGGAAGATCAAAGTTGAGTTGTTGCAGGACCAAAAAGTCATCTCAGTTACATGCTGAGGGGGCCCTAACTACTATATCAAGGACGATTCATCTTACCAAGGACATCGGGGTACATTCCCAAACTGTTGCATGAGTTTCATGGTAATGAAATTTAATGGCACTCAGGAGTTCATAAAACCTACAGTCATTTGTCTGCGGAGTTATACTGAGTAGGGATGCGTCGAGATGTTGAGGATTGTGTGGCGAGTTGTGATGGTGCCAGCAGCACAAGTACTTGGCCATGACACCAAGAGGATTACCCCCGCATGTGCACCATAGTTTGTATACACATAGGTACAATAAATGGGGTAAAAGCAACTTAAAGCAAAATTCATCCACCTTCCGCAACAGTTTGCCGAAGTGGACAAATTGAAATTTACTTTAGCTCATATAGAGCTAATGCTTGGTCGTGAATATCACCAGGACCCATTCTCAAATAATCTGCTGCTAGTAAGGACATAGTATGTGTCCTCTAACCGGCGGTTTTGTCGCCAAATGTCACCGCAGGATAAACGGTTATGACCCGGGGCCTTTTGAACCGAGTGGTTTTGTCGCCAAATGACACCACGAAATATCGGTTATAGCCAGAGCCAGCACGTTCCTTATTAACATCAAATACTTGAGATATGAATCAATATGATATAATCGATAGGGCATAAAGCCTTTTGTCAGCTAAGATGGATTCAAATTTGTCTCCTTAGACAAACATTCACCCTAGGTCTACAAAGTCCCCTTGGACGAAGCAACCCATGGCTGCCGACAAGAAATCTTCTGTCAGGTTGGGTCGACTACCTCCTCTGACTAAGTAGACCAGGGACCATGATGGCCCGGGACGACGGACCATGGGATCTTGATCGGGTCCATTATCCATTCCCCCACCATCCGCTTTAAGTGAAAGATGGTGAAAATTTCTATTTTAAATATTAAAATCCCAAATTCAAACACAATTTCCAAATACCTAAGCCCATTGTTGCTAATATACACCTGATACTGTGTCTACGGATATAATGTATCTGATTGACGACTAGCCTTAATTGAAAGTTCTCTCTCGTGATCGGGAAGGATAATTAACTATAGGGGCTTGCGCCTATAGGAAACCAGAACTCAAATCATAAAGTCCTCGCAAAATGAGGGCGAAATCTCTGGGAACTCATCTGCCTTCCAAAATTTACCCCAGAACTTATTCCGTTAAAACTCCCTCGCCGAAGAAAAGTGAATAGAGCGGACGGAGGCTGGGGCCTAATTTTCGGAGCCCACAAGATATAATTATTGTAGTTGAAAGAAATTTTAGCTAGACATTCCGACAAACTCAACAGATATGATGGTATTTATGCTCTGATTTGTAGCAACATTAATAGAGATCTAACTTTTGAAATCATGAGTTTGTAACTATCATAAGTTCAAAGTCTCAAAGACAATTTTCTTTTTGAGACCATAGCTAATAGCTGTCATTAGAACTTTAGGAATTCATATAAGCAGTACTAAAGTTATCTTAGGGTAGTTCCTATCCTCATGGGAACGATATTTTACTTATTATTTTATTATTTGACGCGGCACGTATACCTACATAGATTCATAAGTTACGTACAAAATAGCCTCTGTGTGTCAATAGCCAACTTAGTCATTTGAGAGGTTCCAATATGAGTGCTTCAGATCTTTCTTCAAGAATGGGTGGATTTACTGCCAATAACAACAGTGGCTCGTATTCACTGGTTTAAGTATTTGAGTTGGATAGCATCAATCCACTAGCATATTAGAGCATCTTTAGCCCAAATGTTTCCAACATGAAGCTTTTTTTTTTTCAACCTGTCATGTAGTTGATCAAAATCTGTCTTTTCAAAAAAATTAAACTATTTAATTATTCTTTTTCAATTTGAGAACAATTTTGTGGAGACTTTCATGGATAAATGGAGTCTCATTATGCTTTTCATTATTGATTTGATTTAAAATTTTGTTTAGGTGTTCACTTTGCTACTTATCGCTAGTAATTCATTTGAGCCTCTGCTCAACTAACAATATCTCCATGTGCATATGCTAGGCAAATAGAAGGTGGGAAAAGCGACAGGCAAAAGTTCTGGTATGATCCTCTTTTAACTTCATCTATATTTTCTGTTTGCCTAGATCTTCTAGTTCAGGGCTCTTTTAACTTTCTTAACAATTATTTTACATGCCTTACTTTATCTGCATTCAGCTATCTTTTACTTTCATTATACTTTCACATCAACTTATTTACCATCTTATCAGTTTCTCTTCTATTCTTTGCTATACATGCTCATATTAGCTAAATGTATTTTTTTATTACGTTACTTAGTGGTTTTACTCCCACCATCTCTTGAAAAAAATCATCTCTCAATTTATTTTTCTAGTTTTTCAATCATTTACTTTAATGTTTTTGTCTTTGTCACATCATGCTATGATTGTCTTTTGCAATTGAATGTTTGAAATAATGTTTATGTTAGTGCTCATTTGCTATATTTCGTTAGTCTGTAAAGCTTCAATAGTTTTTCTAGAATTTTATGTATGATCATAGCTGGGAAATCTTCACTTAAAACATTTCTTTCCCAGTTTGTAAAATTATTGCCTAAGCTTCTTGATGGATGCAGGAGAAGGCTAAGTCGAGAATGATGAAGCAAAAGGATTATTATGATAGAAGCGGGTCTTGGAGCAATCTTTGGGGAAATCTAAATCGTTATGAAAATACAGGTATTACATTCTGGCCGTTTATCCCATGCTCTGATTCTCGAAGTACTTGTATTCTGATTATTCCAAAACTGCTTTATTCACAGAGGAAGAAGTAAAGGAGAGAGCTAATAAAGCAGCAGCAGCAGCAGCCAGGAGATGGAGAGAGTACTCCAGCAGAGGTGCGGATCGACCTCCTACTTATAAACTTCCAGACGCTATCTCCAAATCTGAATAATATCGAAAATAATCATAACAAAAAAACTCTTACTATTAATCCAAATGCATTTCATGTAAATCCTCTTCATTGTGTATCTACTAATCGCATATAATTGTCTATGTAGCACACTGATATAGTATTGGAAAATATTTGGATCAAGAAAGTGATTTAAGTTTAGCCTGAATGAGCTTTGAATTATCAGATTTATCTACATGAGATTTGTATATTATATCAAAATTGTAACTGGTAATGCAACATTTGTATACAACTAAGTTCAAATTTATTTACAAAAGCATAAGAAAGAAGTGAAATTTTGTGAGGAATTATTTGATATATTGCATAAGGTGACAAGTCATTCGATGCATGCTTTAATTATAACATATTTGCAAAATTTTACCCCCAACAATGGTTGATAATGTTGGATGGTTAAATAGGCAATGTTGGCATTGCAAAGTCAAATTCATATAATTTAACATAACATTTTTTAGTATAATATTTGGATGCCATACTAAATACATATTATAAACGTTTTTATGATCGTAATAAGTGCAACAATTATTATAATATTATGATATAAATAACAAATAACTTATTATTTATATTATATTATATAAGATAAATATCATGATATAAATATTGATAATAATAGTATAATTTTATACAATATTATAATATTGGAAAATTTCAGAAATATTATAATATTACATAATTAAATTTGTATTATTTATTGAAGTTAACATGGATATCAATATTTAACTTAATGCATAATAATATTTAATTTTAAAATGATTTTTCATATATAGAAATTAAAAGAAAATATTGATTGTATTGAAACATCACCAATAATAAGTCTTTATCTCATTGTGTGGGTTTGGCTATGTGAATCTTTTTTTCTTGTGTTCTATTAAGAGTCAAATTCTCATTTAAATTTAATAAAAAAATATCATTTTTATTACTTTATAATTAATTTTTTTAGTTATATCACTATATTTTTTAACATAGGCCGGATTGTATTGAAACATCACAATCAATTAATTTATGTTTCTTGGAAATTTAATCAGGATGAAAGTCTCGTAAGATTTTGAACTAGAATCACACGCCAAAATTCTTTGTTGTTTCTAAGGCTTTATTTGTGACTACTATTTTTAAAAGCAAATTTCTAGTACAAAAATTTTGAGTTCAAGATTTTTTTTATTAAAAAGTCACCTTAAAAATTAGATATATATTAGTTGTATATTTGGCCATTTTTTTTTCTTACGATACATCAAGCGCTATTTAAGAGGAGCCAACATGTTAATCTTAAAAACTTATTAGTTAAAATGTGTTAGGCAAATCCATGCTGGACAGGTCTAGTCGGCCCTAGGCAAGGGGTCGGCCCAAGTTTACATGAGACGAAACAAGTAGGTGCGCTGCCTAGGAATTGCCGCCAAAGGCAATTGTGGACCCCAATAGGGAATCCAATTAGGAAGGAGGGGGCTATTAGGGCTAGGCGGGGATTTGTCTTGTGTTGTTTAAGTTTTTTTTTTTAGTTTATGCCTTAAATAGGAAGAGAAAATTAGGGTTAGGGTTATCTGATAATTATGGATGTTTTAGGTGTCTTTGGTACTTGGCGTCTTGGGCTCTAGCGGCATCTAGGGATTGGGAGAGATAGATCCTCCTCTCGAATTGAGGATCAACTATATCTTGGTATTTTCTTTCCTTTATATTTGATTATTGCAATAAAATTATTATTTTTTGGTTTTTCCTTGGAGTTTGGTGGATATTTCTCGCTGTTTTTTTTTTTCAAGATTGATAGGTTTTACATGAGATCTTCAAGTGTTTCATATCAAAATGTTGTAGGTGGTCTTGAACCACAGATGTTGGATCCCAAAGTTCACATGGTCCAAGGGTTGTGAGCATAGTTTTAAAAAACTCAAGAATTGCTTGGTGTTAGCTTCTAATTTGACAATTCTTTTTAGTAACGATGGATTTCATATTTACAATGATGTTACACATCAATGATTGAGTTGTGTCTTAATGCAACACATTAAAGTAGTAGTTTATGCATCCAAACAGCTCAAGGTGCATGAAAAGAATTACCCTACACATGACCTGGAGCTAACTGCAGTTATTTTTGCATTGAAGATTTGGAGCAATTATCTTTATAGCAATCACTGTAAAGTTTTCACTTATTATAAGAGCTTGAAATATATCTTTACTAAGAAGTAGTTGAATTTAAGATAGATACAATAGCTTGAGTTGATGAAGGACTATGATTTACATATTCAATAATGTCCGAGAAAATTTAATATTGTGGTAGATGCTTCAATCAAAAAGTTTTCATCTTATGTAATATGGATGATCACCAAGGAGCAATAGTTAGTGTATGATATGGAGCCACTTCAGCTTGAGATAATAACATATGGATGCAACTATGTTAAACATTTATCGTGTTTATTCAACCGACAATTGTCGATCAGATTCGTTAAGCTCATATGGAAGGCCTAAATTTTGTGCAAATTAGAAATCAAGTTCAGAATGAATTAAAGTCAAATTTCACTATTGATCATACGGGTGCCTTAAAATGTAAATATCGATTATGTGTTTTAGATCACGCTAAACTTTGACAAGTGATACTTCGAGAGACACACTGCTCCGTATTCAGTTCACCCTGGGAGCATGAAAATGTATCAAGATCTCAAGATTTCAATATTGATCATACGAGTACCCTTCTTTGTTAAAGCATTATCCTTGCTTCTTGTGCTAGGTTTCTAAATATTAGGTTGTTAGTCATATTTTCCATTTTTATTAGCATTATGCATGTTAGAAATTTTATTGTTGCTCATATTGAAAGTATCATGTGATAGAAATAATGCTGCCTTGATTTATTAATGTACAAGCTCTTATAATTTAAAATAATTCATGTAGTATAGAATCCAATTCATGCATATCAGTGTTGTTTAATTTAATAAATGATACTCTTGTTGTTAATCATATTGGTTATATAATTTATTTTTTTCATGTTGATTTAAATCATACATGTTGGTTATTTATAAAAAAAGCACTTTGTAATGTATAATTATGTATATGTTAGTAGAACTCTATAGGATTTTGGCTAGCAACATCACTAAATTTACTTAGGTTGGTGTTTACCTTATCGATGATGGGTATTTGATAACTAACTATAATTATATACATATAAATGTATAAATATATAATTGGACATGAATTGAAAACAATAAATGAAGGATAAGTCATTTTGAGCTACGAGGATACCTATTATGGTGTTTGTTTTAAGCATTGAAATGATTTGGCATTAGTAGTTATTTGACATATACACTAGTATACTAGAATATGTTGTAGGAGGCATGGCAAATGTCATTGCTACTTTAATATAATTACTATAGGTTACTACTCCCACCTTTTTGTTGTTTATACTGCATATCACATTCCTTAGTCGATTGGTCCAAGAAGAGTTCCTTGTGGGAGGTGTAAGAAAATCTATTCATCAGTGGGATTTCCAAGAGCCAGCACCCTTGACTGAAGTCATTCTTTAACAACCTATTATGGTAGGATTCAAACTACCCAGCATCAATTCCTATGTTGGAATATCTAATCCGTATGAGCATATTGATCACTATAGAGCATACCAACAAGCCTCAGATACACTCCTCTACTAGATTTTTTATGCTACTCTTAAAGGACAAGATCGAATGTAGTTATATTAATTTCTAACTAGAATGATCCCCACGTTTCTCAAATTGGCCAAACTGTTCGTCGAACAATTCATCGCCAATTGAAGAATTTCTAAGGATTTTTCTAACCTCTCTAGGATCCACCAAAGTGAAAGAGAATTGTTGAATGAGTATTTTTAACGATTTTTCACTGAGGTCAACAAATTTTAGGAGTAGATCTTGAATTGTTGAGAGGAGTTTTCCTCAGAGGCCTTCGTCCTAGTCCCTTTTACTTAGCGCTTATGCGAGACACAATTCATTTATACACTAACATGATCCATCGTGTGGAGGTATAAATATCTACAGATAAAGCCATAAATGCTCATAGAAAGTAGTTTAAGCAAATAAATAGAAAGCATATGACTGCACCAAGAGCAGATAACACATTCTTACAGCGAAATAAATAAGGGAAGGGTAACCTGCCACCTAGACCCCATTGCTATGACATAAGCCTCGACAAGAGATGGAGTATACACCATTGAACTGTTGACCTGTATACGGCAACCAAAAGAAAATAAAAAAAAATTCTTTTGCGTACCTGTGAGGACGTCCGGCGCCGACTCACACGATCGCAAAATCCCGAAAATCCTGCATTCGGACATCCCGCATCATGGCTTCGTGCGTCAACGACGGGTCTATACACGACTTCACACGATTCCTCTGCCTCATAAAAGACCGAAGAAATGAGAGAGCTCAGGCTCTCTTACTCTCAATTTCCCTCCCCCGCTCTCTCCCTTCCTCTCACTTTCTCTTCTCCCTGCGATCGGAAGCAACGACATTTTGATCGGAGCAAGCGACGGGAGCCCGTCGTGAAGCTAACGATCTCCCTTCCGTGTGGCTTCTTCGACATCTTCGTGGCTGGGCGACTTCGTTCCAACGACGACTTTCCCTGCCAATCGACCGGAAGTTAATACAGTTTGATCGGAACAACAACGGGTGCCCGCTCGGTGTGAAGGAAACTTTCTCCCTTCCGCTTCTTCTCCGGATCCACCAGGGCTGACCGACTTTGCTCCCTCCAACGACTTGCTCTTCCCATTGGATCGGAAGTTACCACACTTTGATCGGAAGCAGCCACGGGAGCTCGCCATTGTGAAGGTAACTTCATCCCTTTCGTGCGCTTTCCGGCCAAATCCCATAAATTCGCCGGACAGAGGGATTTAAAAAAAAAATCTTATTATAAATATTTAATTATAATTATTTTAAATAATTCTAATTAATTATA